ACTGTACACATGGACCAGTTTTTATGAAAATCTAAGGGGTCCCCCTTCCCCAAAAACTTTGAATGCCTCTAGGGGCCAAAGTATAATATGTGGCGAAAAACAGACTTCACCATTGGAATCAGCGTCCAAAACTGTACCCATGGACCAGTTTTTATGAAAATCTAAGGGGGTCCCCCTTCCCCAAAAAACTTTGAATGCCTCTAGGGGCCAAAGTATAATATGTGGCGAAAAACAGACTTCACCGTTGGAATCAGCGTCCAAAACTGTACCATGGACCAGTTTTTATGAAAATCTAAGGGGGTCCCCCTTCGCCCCAAAAAACTTTGAATGCCTCTAGGGGCCAAAGTATAATATGTGGCGAAAAACAGACTTCACCATTGGAATCAGCGTCCAAAACTGTACCCATGGACCAGTTTTTTATGAAAATCTAAGGGGGTCCCCCTTCGCCCAAAAAACTTTGAATGCCTCTAGGGGCCAAAGTATAATATGTGGCGAAAAACAGACTTCACCATGGAATCAGCGTCCAAAACTGTCACATGGACAGTTTTTATGAAAATCTAAGGGGTCCCCCTTCCCCAAAAAAACTTTGAATGCCTCTAGGGGCCAAAGTATAATATGTGGCGAAAAACAGACTTCACCATTGGAATCAGCGTCCAAAACTGTACCATGGACCAGTTTTTATGAAAATCTAAGGGGGTCCCCCTTCGCCCCAAAAAAAACTTTGAATGCCTCTAGGGGCCAAAGTATAATATGTGGCGAAAAACAGACTTCACCGTTGGAATCAGCGTCCAAAACTGTACACATGGACCAGTTTTTATGAAAATCTAAGGGGGTCCCCCTTCGCCCAAAAAAACTTTGAATGCCTCTAGGGGCCAAAGTATAATATGTGGCGAAAAACAGACTTCACCATTGGAATCAGCGTCCAAAACTGTACCCATGGACCAGTTTTTATGAAAATCTAAGGGGTCCCCCTTCGCCCAAAAAAACTTTGAATGCCTCTAGGGGCCAAAGTATATATGTGGCGAAAAACAGACTTCACCATTGGAATCAGCGTCCAAAACTGTACCCATGGACCATTTTTATGAAAATCTAAGGGGGTCCCCCTTCCCCCAAAAAACTTTGAATGCCTCTAGGGGCCAAAGTATAATATGTGGCGAAAAACAGACTTCACCGTTGGAATCAGCGTCCAAAACTGTACACATGGACCAGTTTTTATGAAAATCTAAGGGGATCCCCCTTCGTCCAAAAAAACTTTGAATGCCTCTAGGGGCCAAAGTATAATATGTGGCGAAAAACAGACTTCACCGTTGGAATCAGCGTCCAAACTGTACACATGGACCAGTTTTTATGAAAATCTAAGGGGGTCCGAATGTGATTCTGAAAGTGAATCTGAATGCCTCTAGGGGCAAAGTATAATATGTGGCGAAAAACAGACTTCACCATGGGAATCAGCGTCCAAAACTGAACACATGGACCAGTTTTTATGAAAATCTAAGGGGGTCCCCCTTCCCCCAAAAACTTTGAATGCCTCTAGGGGCCAAAGTATAATATGTGGCGAAAAACAGACTTCACCGTTGGAATCAGCGTCCAAAACTGTACACATGGACCAGTTTTTATGAAAATCTAAGGGGGTCCCCCTTCGCCCCAAAAAACTTTGAATGCCTCTAGGGGCCAAAGTATAATATGTGGCGAAAAACAGACTTCACCATTGGAATCAGCGTCCAAAACTGTACCCATGGATCAGTTTTTATGAAAATCTAAGGGGGCCCCCCTTCGCCAAAAAAAAACTTTGAATGCCTCTAGGGGCCAAAGTATAATATGTGGCGGAAAACAGACTTCACCATTGGAATCAGCGTCCAAAACTGTACCCATGGACCAGTTTTTATGAAAATCTAAGGGGGTCCCCCTTCCCCAAAAAAATTTGAATGCCTCTAGGGGCCAAAGTATAATATGTGGCGAAAACAGACTTCACCGTTGGAATCAGCGTCCAAAACTGTACACATGGACCAGTTTTTATGAAAATCTAAGGGGGTCCCCCTTCGCCCCAAAAAAACTTTGAATGCCTCTAGGGCCAAAGTATAATATGTGGCGAAAAACAGACTTCACCATTGGAATCAGCGTCCAAAACTGTACCCATGGACCAGTTTTTATGAAAATCTAAGGGGGTCCCCCTTCGCCCAAAAAAACTTTGAATGCCTCTAGGGGCCAAAGTATAATATGTGGCGAAAAACAGACTTCACCATTGGAATCAGCGTCCAAAACTGTACCCATGGACCAGTTTTTATGAAAATCTAAGGGGGTCCCCCTTCCCCCAAAAAACTTTGAATGCCTCTAGGGGCCAAAGTATAATATGTGGCGAAAAACAGACTTCACCGTTGGAATCAGCGTCCAAAACTGTACACATGGACCAGTTTTTATGAAAATCTAAGGGGGTCCCCCTTCGCCCAAAAAAACTTTGAATGCCTCTAGGGGCCAAAGTATAATATGTGGAAAAACAGACTTCACCATTGGAATCAGCGTCCAAAACTGTACCCATGGACCAGTTTTTATGAAAATCTAAGGGGGTCCGAATGTGATTCTGAAAGTGAATCTGAATCTGAGGCTGTCTTGACAGACGTGGTACCAAACTTGTACTTTGATTTTTAGGTCAGGGTCAGGTCAGGTCATCACAGGTCACGGAAATATTATATCATGCGTCGGTCAGTGACACATCACATGTTTTATGGTCCATTTAGGCCATAGATTTCGAATTTGATGTCGTTTGTGTCATTCGAGGTCATTTTGAGTTGAATTTAGCTAGGTCAGGTCACTTTCAGGTAAAAAAGGTCAAATTTGAAGTTTAAATCTTTAACAAAAAAGGTGTCTATTGGATGCAGTTTGAGCTCAGGAACACGATGGCGGTATTTGTATTGGTGTACGATGTCAAGAACTTACTGAAAAATGATTTGAAGAAGAAAAATATTATTGTGATTTTTTTTTGCAATAATGCGATAACTTGGCCATTTTTTAATATATTTAGCTAAAACTTGCTATAGTAAGTCATAAGCATGTGTTCTATCATATATTCCGTTTTTTTCGAAAAGTCAAAAAGTTTTGAAATAGAAATAAAAGTATACCTAAATTTTAAACTTTATTATGTATAATTTTCAAAATTTTCAAGATTTTGAAAATCCGAGATGGCAGTTTGATAACGCAGTCTATTCTGAGTCCTCTCATGCAAAGAAAAATTGGATCTAGCTTAAAAACTGAGCTCTTGGGAGCGATTGCCGTGGTTCAATGTTTTGCGTCGAAATCGGCCGAACATGACGTTACTCTGACTTCATTTCCGGCCGACCTATGGTAGCTAGGAAGTTCATATTTTGACAAAGGTGTCAAATTGATGCAGCCGAAGGTACTGAAAGTTTGGCGTCGATACGTCATGCGGTTTGGAAGTTATTGCAGAGAAACGGGATGGGAGGGGCTATGAATAGCCCCGCCCCCAGTGGGGCGCGGGTTAAAATAAAACAGGGGAGTCACTTTTTATATTATATCAAGCAATTATATACGCATACAGAAAAGACACTGACACTTCTGTACATCTGATTACAACTGAAAGTAATAACAGCCAATTACCGACATTCTAACTAAAAGATAAACACCAGCGAGCTCTGTAAGAACGCAAACTGATGGACACGGTAGGCGATCCGGCCGGTCTAGCCTCGCGAAAACTCAAAGACACTTTTTTCCGAAAATCCGAAATAAAAAATCCGAAAAATTTCGAAAATCCGAAAATTGGAAGACAACGCATAATAGTCCACAGTAAATTCATCAAAGATTACGATTAGTGCATTTGCATGGCGGCTCAGGAAACATCTTTTCGTAGACAAAAGTATCTTTAAAGACAGCGTTCCGTAACACTTCATAAGGATGTGGGTTGAACATCCATTTTGCATGGAAAGTGGAATTATGTTGAGACGATTCCGTCATAAAAAAACAAGTAGACAAAATCAGTTCAAATGTCTTATAATTAGGTTAACTTTTTATATATTTTTTTTTCTGCCGCCGAACATTACGTTTACTGAATTTACGAAGCCCAGCAAAAAAAGTATTACGCGGAAGAACTGTATTCTTCTGAAATTCACGCAATGCGCGTGAATACATGTATTCACGCGCATTGCGATTGTTCTCCTGACTCCAGCTCCCAGTCCAGGCTCCGCGTCTCCGTGGGCTGCGGTGCTGGATGAAATCAACTAGGTCTCTGAAGTGGTCAGGTAAAGGCTACGTGCTCTGTGATTGGAAGGAAAATGATTGTTCTGCCAAAATGACACGTGGGACGAAAGACAATGTTTAGGTAAGCGAGATAACGAGAGATCAGCGGTAAAAATTAAGGAAAAACGTGAGGAAAGCTCGCGCGAATACTCAGCCTGTCAGACGCCACTGTGCACTGTAGAAAAGCTATATTTAGCGTAGTATATCGAGATGTGAAACAACTGTGTAACGAGAGCCGGAATAACAACGGAGCGGAAGCGACAGTGCCAGAAACACAAACTATTTTAGATAAAAGATAGAAACGGGCTTACAGAAAACAACGAAATAATTACGCCAATTAAAGCACAATAAACTTATTTTAGAACGCAAGTAACATTATATAATCTTAAGACAATAGCGAAGATAATACGATTTAAATATAATACTAAAAACGAGATCAGAAGGTACTTGAAAAGGAAACAGTATTTGCGCACACGCGACAAAACAATAGCGCACTTGGGCGGAGACGCCGCAACTAAATAATGTGCCGGTGGGCTGCGCGGCACCACAGTACTTCCCCCCCCTAAGAGCGGAGCGGGAAAAGATAAAAAAAACTCACGAGGGTGGAACACGAAACCGAACGCGGCGACCAGCACGAGTGTACACGGCGTCTCGCTGTGGACGAACAGGCACAGGCGACGGCGGCGACGCGGGCGCCGAGCTCTGGCCCCCAAGACGGCGACCACGACGTGGCGGAGCAGATGGTGGCGGCGCTACGTCAGCACGGTCCGGCTCCGCTGGCGGCGATGATGAAGCGTGCACAGGCGGTGCAGCGCTGGCCAGGCCGGGAAGCGGGGACAGCGCGGCATCGGCGCGGCCCGGCTCCACCGACGGCGATGTGGTTGTACCGGACTGCACGGGGGGCAGGGCGGTGCGGCATCGGCACCGCCCAGCCCACCCGGCGGCGGTGACTGCGGTAGGTATGCTGGCTTGAGCCGCTCGACCGAGACGGTGTCACTCTTCCCCGACGGCAGCTCCAGCTGGTACCAGCGATCCCATCGCCTGAGGACGCGCAGAGGGCCGATATAAGGCGCCTCCAGAGGGCGGCGCACGCGGTCAACCCGCAGCCAGACGTGTGAACACGTCGAGAGGTCGGTCGGCATGTGCGGCTGGGTCAGTCCATGGTGGCTGCCTTCAGACGGCGAGAGGAAGTCTGTCCTGGCGAGTCGGCGGGCCAGCTCCCCGACGGTCTCGGCGGCGCCGTCCGGAGCAGGCTGCCGGTCCACTCTTATCCGGGGCTGCAACAGCATGCCCCCGGTGACGGCAGTGAACGGCGCATAGCCAGTCTCATTCATGGCCGCCCGGATGCCCAGGAGGACCACAGGTAGTGCTTGTAACCACTGTTTCTTGCTGGCGATGATGGCTGACTTCAGCGTCCGATGCTGACGCTCCACCATGCCGTTGGTCTTGGGGTGGTACGCCGTTGTCCGCAGGCGGTGAAAGCCGAGGATCTCGGCCAGTTGTCGGAAGAGGGCGGACTCAAACTGAGTACCTCTGTCGGTGACGACGTGCAGCGGCACACCAAACCGGGCCACCCAGACGTCCATGAAGGCGGCTGCGACGGTGGCTGCTGAGATGTCGGCGATAGGGGCCGCCTCCAGCCAGCGGGTGGAACGGTCAACACACGTCAGGAGGTACCGACACGGGAGGTGAGACTCACCGTGAGGGATTGATGGCGGCAGAGGACCGACAATGTCTATGTGGATGGTCTCGAACCTGTCGCTGAGGAGAGAAAACGGAGACGGGACGGTTTTGGTGTGGCGGTGGACCTTACTCGATTGGCAGAGGAGCACTCGCGTACCCACCGGCGGATACAGCGGTCCATGTCGGGCCAGAAGTAGCGCGACTTGACCAGCTGAAGGGAGGCCTTGACACCAGGATGAGCGAGGCTGTGCACCTGTTCGAACACATGAGTGCGGAGGGGGACTGGGACAAACGGCCTGGGAAGTGTCAGAGTGGTATCACAGAGGACGGTGAGATCAGCTGACAACGGGAAGGGTGTCAGCCGGTCCGAGTAGGCAGCTGTCTCCTGGTCGTCCCTCTGAGCCTCGGCGATGGCGTGCAGGTCGGCGGCGTCCACGGTGGCGGCGTTCACTGACGCTGTAGGCGTGGTGCTCGGTGGCGCGGCAGCCGCCAGCGACTCGGTGGCCGGGTGCGGCGCAGCAGTCACCGGGGTCATGCCAGTGTCGGCGGCGGTGCTGCTGAGCGCAGCAGACGGCGGATCGGGCGCGCGCGCGCGCGGTCCGGTGCGGCGACAGGTGGCCGCTCCGAGCGCGCGCGGGCACCGTCCGGCGCGGCGACCGGTGGCGGCTCGAGGCGTACCGCGCGCGCGGCGACCGGTGCGGCGACCGGAGGCGGCACAGGGCGCGCGCGCGCCCGTCCGGTACGGTGACCGGAGGCGACTCAGGGCGCGCACCCGCACCGACGGGCGCGGTAGCCGCGCTGCCCAGTGTGGTCAGGAGTGATCCTGTCGGTGGCGAGGTCTCGGAGCTCTGGTCGGGCGGACTGAGGGCGTCGGGGGTCACAGGGCGACTCCAACAGTCAGCGACCACGTTGTCAGCCCCGCGCACGTACTGGACGGAGGAGACGTACTCGGAGATCACGCTCCAGTGCCGCTGCTGACGGTCCGACTTGGCCGTCTGCGGGCTGAGGAACGCGGTGGTGAGCGGCCGGTGGTCAGTGAAGAGCGCGACGACACGACCTTCCAACAGGTGACGGAAGTGAAGCACGGCCAGGTAGGCGGCCAGCAGCTCGCGGTCGTATGTTGAGTATCGCCTCTGCTGGTCGCTGAGCTTCTTGGAGAAGAAGCCGACGGGGACAGGCTGACCGTCCGCGATCTGGTACAGAGCTGCACCGGCTGCCACCTGTGAGCAGTCGGTGACCAGGTGTAGGTCTCACAGGACGGCAGGTGATGTCGGATGGTGCATGCTGTCTGCAGTGCCTCCTTGATGTCTGTGAAGGCGGCGAGCTCCGTCTCGGTCCACGGGAGGTTGGTGCTCTTCTGGTTGTGCTTCATCAGCTCTGTCAGCGGGTGGACGATCTCGGCGAAGTGTGGGATCATCCGGCGGAAGAACCCGACCATCCCGAGGAATCGGCGGAGTGCTGTGGAGTCCGGTGGAGTCGGCAGATCCGCGATCTCCTCGATCTTGGCGTCTGGCGGCCGGAGCCCCTCGGCGGAGACGGTGTGGCCTAGATAGACCACCTGCGGCTTGAAGAAGTCGCACTTGTCCAGCGAGATCCTTAGCCGGTGTCGATGGAGGATGCCGAGGACGGTCTGAAGGTCCTTGTGATGCTGCTCTGCGTCTGGCGAGAAGATCAGGACGTCATCCAGGTAGACGAAGACGCAGCTGACCTGGCGGAACAGCTGGTCCATCACACGCTGGAATGTAGCCCCACTGTTCCGCAGGCCCAGCGGCATGAACACGTATTCGTACGCGCCGAATGGTGTCGTTACAGCCGTCTTCTCCACATCCTGTGGCGACATAGGGATCTGGTGATAGGCTCTCAGCAGGTCCACCTTGGAGAACACACGCATCCCATGGAGACGGGTGCTGATGCTGTGGATGTGTGGCAGCGGGTAGCGGTCTGGCTTGGTCTTGCCGTTCAGCGCGCGGTAGTCCCCTGTCGCTCTCCACATCCCGAACTTTTATGGAGGCATACTCCCAATGTCGCTGGCTGGTTTTTGCCTGCGAATATGCGCCGTGTTAAAATGGACTGGCTTTCGGAATGGAAAGGCAAAGGAAAGTTATCGTCCATAGAAACATGCAAAAATTGCTTTTTTTGTCAAACATTATTTGATATAGAATATAGTTCTTCCAACATTCAATATACAAAAAAAATTAATAAAAAGTTTTATTTCATTTTCTGATCATTTTAAGCACCAAAAAATCATAAATCGATTGCAAAAACTAATTTGAGGAAAGCGAACAATTTCCTTAAAAAAACGTACCTCTCGGACAATTATTAATTAGCGCAGATGCATGGACGGGTACCTAAATACGCATTACAAACATATTTGGTATTGATCATCGGCCGCAAATTTGCTTGTAGTGCGAATTATCTTTGGTCAATGCTCTTATATCTGGGCCCTGGGCTAAGTACCTAAAAGCAAAACTCACTTAGCAATGAAATGGAAATGGAAAAATGGAATGGAAAAAATGGAAAATGGAATGGAAAACAACTGAATTCTCAACTTCTAGGCACTGCAATAAACAAATGCACCCGTTATGAAACATTCTTGGAACCATTGTCCTGTGTCATTCATTTCCCCTGTATCTTCCCTTGAGTCGTCTTGGCCTTATCCCGACTGAGACGCAGCTCAGCCGCCAATCAGCGTCTGGAGGGCACGGGGGCACGACCAGCCGCTGGGCTGTCGCGTGCAGCGAGTTCGGGGAACAGCCACCGCGCCTCCGGGGAAGAAGGTGAGACCACGACATGAGGCTAGCTGCTCGACCAGTGATCGTTGTTGTGTTTTCACTGAGTCTGCCTCCAGGGCCGTCGAAACATGACAAACAAATCTACTAATGCCATGCTTGTGTTTAAAACGCTCAAGGCAAAACGATGCGCAAGTCTTGCTATCCCATCACTGCGACTGATCCTTTGGCACCTACGTAATCACCGAAAGTGAACTACCTACACCCAGCGTACCCACTACCCATTTTACCTACAGATACCTACCCCTTAAAGGTAGTGTGCCAGCTTTCTTGGACCGTACCCCAGTGCGAAATTCGCCCCGACGGGTTGTCGGTCGTACCCCAACCACATTTCACACCACTATGAACAATAAATGCACACACTGAAATCGCTATTACCGATATGCTCATCCAATCAAGTTTCGATAAACCCGTTCATCATCAGCTCCTGCGGTTTCGAACACGCCTGTTAGGTGGCTTCTGATGCTCGTCGAGGTCGGAATTTCCAAATACGCGTGGTGCGTCGGGCCGCGCGCTCTGACTTCGGCCAAGAAAAATGCGTCAGCTGATCATTGTCATTTCTGCCACTTGCGTGTGGTGAAATGGGGTCATAACTTATAAGACGGCTTTTTCATATCAATTATTTTACATAAAATCATATTTCAAACCATAAATAATGTTCGACAGCCAAATAAAAGAAACAATACCAATACGGGCTTACAGTTTAAGGCTCGACATTGTGTTGTCTACGATTAGACAGCTGATAACTCATTCCCGTACGTCGTATGGTCGTAACACTATAATGACCTTTGCTTATTGTCACAAGTGCGCCGCATTCGCGATTGTTGCCCGACGCCTGTTTGCAGGTGAGCCCACTACAGTTGTTATACATATCTAAAAACCGAAAAACTTTAGGCGAAAAAGGCACTATTCCAGGCCCATTTTTGATTTTTTTTTGCGATATTAGGTAAAAACAGAAGCTTCTTATCCTAGGAAAAATAAAATGGGAAATCTTTCAAAGGTGGCACACTACCTTTAACCCTCGCACGACCAGGCCATTTCTCATAACACGAACGACCAGGGTCCAGGGGGGGGGGGTGTTACGACCCCCCCCCTGGCGTTTCGAAACGGAAGGTCGTAGAGCTTAGCGGAAAAAACCAACGGATTGCTCTCAACGAGATCTCGCGATTGGTGGCATATTTTTTGGTCCTAGGTTAACATTTGACCTACTTATGACCGGTCAAAGGTCAAATTTTCCGAAAAAAATCAAAAATTTTCAACTTTCCGCGGCGATTGCGGCAAAACGGTGGGAGATATCGACTTGAAACCTTCACTATCGTGTTCCTTGATCAATTCTCTATCGTTTGGTATGTATTTCGTTTCCCTAGCTCTAAAAATGGCGCGTTGGGAGCGCCGGAAGCCGGCAAGATCACAGTCGGCGGCAGAAATTCGAAAAATCAAAATTTAAATTTTTGAAATCTGATTGTATTTTTAGATTTGGGAGGTCCATTTGCTCCCTATAGAAGCTAATATTGCTGCATATTCCCATTGAGGTGACAAGAATTAGCAAAATAGTGGTTCGGGCGCTTTTCAAAAATAGTACCGGACGCTGTTCCTCTTGTGACGTCATAGCTCCGTGACCTGACCTGACCCGGTCAATTTTCTTGCACCACACGATAGCCAATGCTTGCCCCAACATGCATGGGAAGTTTCACATGATCCATCAAACAATGTGGGTATCACCGGCAGAAAACCTAGGGATTCGGCGCACACGTTTGGTAACTGTCGGCCGGAGGCTGTACCTCTTATGACGTCATAACTCCGTGACCTGACATGACCCGATCAATTTTTTTTTCGGCAAAAGATGCGCAAAGGTTGCCCCAGAGGGTATTGAAAATTTCAGCCCGCTACGACAAGCTGTTTAGCGTGCACTTCGAAAAAACCTCAGGGGGGGTTGATACAACCCCCCCCCTAGGCGTTCTAGGGTTAAAAGCCAGCACTTAACCCGACTAGTTAACTCAAATTGTTGACCAGTTAACAAGTTAGATAATTAATTCCCAGATATTGTAGTTCTACTTTGGGCAGCTTACTCCAGAAAATCACCGCCAACAAAATATGCTATCAACACATTTGTCTTCTCAAGACGCATCGAACGATGCACTTTTTAAGATCAATGTCAAAGACGCCCTCATACGACCAGGTTATATGGATAGCCTGGACATCACATACACCTAGGGACCTAGCCGACCGAACTAAAAGAAAATTAAAACTTTCGGGCTATGTTTTTGAAGGTTGAGCCTGAAACTCAGCGAAAACTTAATATTTCCCAATTCGTTAAAGCGTTCCAGAGCTAGTCCTAGAAAACTTTATGGGTTGGTATCAACCTCGCAAGACTGGCGAGACTTAATTATAAAACTAACTGTTCATAACACTTTTCATAGCATTCATAATGCGTTCATAGCATAACATGTTTTTCAATGTTTTAAAATATTTTCAAAACAGAACATTTCAAACATAGCAAATTACTAGCACGAGTTGTTGCAAGTATTGCCGCTGATATTTTGGTGTCAACCGTTAGCGATATAATCGGAGTTTCGGAGACAGCTGCAGTGTTTTGCTGATGGATCACCCTGTATACCGGTCCCAAAAGAGCGCGGGACAAAACACACCGTCAGTCGACAAACAGTGGCGCAACGCGACAAATGCGCTGCCCAGGGAATTAGCATTGTCGCTCCCAGGCCGGCGGCGAATCAATAGCAACGCCGCGCCACGGCGATTAGTGTTATTACCAGCGCTATTAGTTTGATTGTTTCATTTGCCAAATTGATGATGATTTGATCCAGGCCGTCATTTTATGAAAGTAAAACGGACACTTTGTAATTGGCCGGGTGGCCGACCGAGTAGTGGCCGGGCGCGGTCGGGCCGCTCACAGCGCCGAACTGCTGACACCGTCCGGACGATACCCGGTGTCAGCGGCCGCCGGCCGGTCGGAGCGGCGCCCGAACCGTGCGACTAGCACCCAGCAGCTGCCGGGCAGGAGTTTACCCTCATTAACCTAGTCGGAGTTGACAAGCCGCTGGGGAGGGACGGCTGACGCACTGGTATATCAAAGCGGCCTGTCGCCGGCGGCACCTCCGCTCGGCAAAACGCTAATTCCTGTCGAGTGCCGTCGGCGCCACAAGTGTTCAAATTATGAATGCGCTGGTGAGTTATATATCAGCGGATGACATACGAAACACTCGCGGTTAATTTGTGGCTGGTGCGCCAGACAGCTGGCTGCCAAAATCAAAGCGAATGTCGCGCACAAGCGGGACAGATCCTGAGCGTACCGGGAGACTTCGTCAAACCAGACTCGGCTGTTTAATAGAATACCACGGACATCGAAGGCGCATAAAATAGCCGAGAAACCCATTCACAAACGCTCGAGCTCACCAGTTTCAAGGTTAGGACCGAAGTTGACTTGGAAATAAGGCGGATTATGCATACAGATGTAAACACCGCTTATACGATCAAACGATGTAAACATTTCTGGGAAGCTGAGCACCTCCCATGGTATCAGGCAGCGGCACTCCCCTGATGCATAAACTGGCCTGGCTACCCGCGGCGGCGGGCAGCCGGCAGGGATGTGCAGTAACGGGCAACGGCAGCTGGGAGCCCGATCACGCGCGGGTAGGTACTTTACATACCGCGCTGTCGTGAATGAGCTGTCACTTTCGACGTCCAGGCTGCAGGCATACCTATGTGTTATAGCTACGGTTATTGTAACTAAGTAAGCAAATATATCGCCAAGAGAACACGACAATTGCCATGCGCATCGGGCACTATAGACGATTTCACACTGCGTGTAAGAATGAAACAATTTTGTTTTACAGGTTGAAAACAAGTACGAAAGGAATTCATAGTATACCTACTTGCCGGGGACACTGCTTTCATACTGCGCCAATCCCACAATCCGCAGACGACTACAATGAATCAATATCACATGTTAAATAAATTTAGTAAATAACGAAAAAACGATCGCCACGAAGTGGCTGCGCCTCATTTGAGCCGTTGGCGGCGCGGGCGGACATGCGAAGGCACCGGTAAAAGCTGCTGCACCCCTACCTGCAGTCACGGCTGAAGGCTAAGGATTACGGCACTCGCTAATGGCATCACTCGACCATTGCTGCTGCTGCCAGACTGAAATCACCACCGATCACGCGACGGGGCGCTCTTTGTGGTAAGG